GGATCCCAACCTCTGCCTGTTAGTCTTTTTTCCACTTGGGAGCATAATCATGAGCCATTCATATGCTTTGTAATTACACTCCCAAGGGCAGAATTGAAAAGATCTAGACTTTTCAGTCTTCACTGTCAGACTGAGCCTAATCTTTTATTTTGCTGTTTAACTCAAGTGCCTGGCTCATCAAGAACATTGGGGTACTGGGAGCTCCACAGTGACACCTTAAACTCTTCTGGGGGTGTGCTGGAGACCTGGAGATTGTAGGTTAATAATAACTGGCATTTATAAGGTACTTTAAGAGATGCAAAGACATCCTTTATTTCTTTTGACATGCACAATACCTCTCACTATGATCTAGTTGCAGGCTTGATGTGAGGCAATGGTCCTCAAAGTGTGGTTCAAGGCTCACTCAGTGTCTCAGACATTTTCAGTCTGAGGTCAAAAGTATTTTTAATAGTAATATCAAGATGTTATTTTCCTATAAAAATACTCTTCTGTTTTCCAACTACATATCTGTGTGAGGTCATATTTCCTTTATTTTTTTGGTGAGGCAATATGGGTCAAGTTGATGGGTTGTTTGAGTGCTTGTTTTGGGGACCCCAATTCCAAGGCCATATTTCTTCCTAGCCTTAGAAACACTATCCCTGGCAGTTTCTCCCCAGCCTGAGGACACTATGACCAGCAATTACTCATGAGTGGGCCTCAGCAACACACTTATCTCTCTCCCTGGTGCAGTCACAAACAGCACCTGAAGGGATTATTAGTTTGAATTGGCTTTGCTATGGGTCATAAAGATATTCATACCAACATCATATCTCATTACCTTTATCTGGGACTCCTCATGTGTATCCTAGACCTAAGACATGTATACTCCCTACATCTATTTTGTCAAACGAGGTATTGACTGGTGGCAGACTGGGCAACCCTCAGTAGGCTTTGATTGCTAGTGACATGGCAGACCTAAAAACCACACCTCCATGCAGCCCCTACTTGGGCTTTTCCTCATTGGTGAACCCTGGGTAAAACAACTGCATAGTAGATACAAAAAGTGCCCGTTCCTTTAAGAATTGACCATTCCTTAATAACTCTCTAATCCTGCCCTGAATCACCTAGTTAGCATATGTTTTACCATAGTTTATTCTCTATAAACTTTAACTGAACCCCTTTAAGGTCACAGGTTCCTTAAGAACTCTTGCAGGCTGAAAAGCGTAACAACAAATCTTTGCCGAGTTGACTTAAAGAATGCTTGTGTCCTTTTTGTGGTGGCAAAGAATTGGAAATTGAGAGGATGCCCATCAATTGGGGAATGGCTGAGCAAGTTGTGGTATATGAATGTAATGGAATACTATTGTTCTATAAGAAATGATGAACAGGCTGACTTCAGAAAAACCTGGGAAGACTTATATGGTCTGAGTGAAGTGAATAGAACCAAGAGGACTTTGTATAATAGCAGCCACGTTAAGCAATGACTAAGAATGTTAAACTGAACCCTTCTCAGCATTACAAGGATCTAAGACATCTCCAGAGGCCTCGGGATGGAAAATGCTGTCCATATCCAAAGAAAGAACTATGGAAGTCGAATTGCTCTCACTTATTTTTACCTTCAGTTGAGTTTTGTTTCATCTTTCTGATGGTTCCTCCTATTGGTTTTAATTTTTACTTACAACTTCACTAATGTGAAAATATGTTTAATGGGCATGTAAATGTAAAGCCTATGTCAGATTGTGTGCCGTCTTGGGGAGGGTGGGGGGGGAGAAAAAGGGAGAAAAAAATTTCAACTCAAAAGCATATGGAAAAAAAAATTTTTAAAAATTTAAAAATGGGGGGAAAAAAAAGAATGCTTGTGTCTGTAAATTCATTCCAGACTACCCTGTCCTGTACTCCTGTCTTTGAGGGGTCTCTGAACCTTTCAAGACCACAACATACATACAACTAGTAAGTGTTATGTATCTGAGGCAGGATTTGAACTCAGGTTCTCCTGACTCCAGGTCCCCTGCTGCGCCACCAGCTGCCCCCAGATTTTCTTCATAAACTTCAACCAAAACAACATGTTGCAACAGATTGAATACAGAAGCAGATATAAGAATCCAACTGTCTTCACTAAGCCAAACATAAAGATTCACAAAATATGTATAACAATACCAACCACTTTTTCCACCATTTTGTTAGTGATGCAGTTTAGGGGTTCAGGGGTGCTGGGGCCCCAAAATCACAACACGCAGGTCCTACCTGAAAGAATTCGACCCAAGCCTTCTTTCAGCTAAAGACAGGGTTTATTAGAACATCCACCATATTGGGCAGACTCTTAAGGAGTCTGAACATGAGTAAGCAGTGGATAGATTCTAAGAATCTAAGCATCTTAATGGAGACAAGATGGACCTTATATACAGAAAGCCTGTGGGAGGGATCTAGGAGTGGCCAGTAAACTGGGGTGAACAGAACTCCTGGGACCTGGACCTTGTGGCCAAGAGAGAATGGAGCCTTAAGGGTGGGCCACAATGAAAGGCCAGTTGATGGGATTATAGCCTCAGGCTAACGCCAGAGATTTGGCTATGTGGGAAAGTCCAGGGTTTTTCCTTTCTGGGGCCCAGATCCCAACTCCATCAGTAGGAAATATGGTTAATATGTAATGAGTTTATAATTGTTTTAAATGAATGAACATTTAAAAATAATTAATTTTGTTGTCTAATATTTGTAAACATCAATATATAGCCCACATATACAAAAGCTTTTGGGATCCTAATAATTTTTAAATGTGAAGAGGAATCCTGATATGAAAAAGTTTGTGAACCTGCCAAAAGGAATTTATTTTGTTAGATTATACGTTTGTTACAAGAGATGGCTTCTACTGAAGATATGGTGGGTTGGGAGTGGTAGGTTAATGGGGAGTAGATAGGCAAAAGAAAAAGGGACAATAAAACATTTTTAATGTGGAGAGGGAAACACAAAAGTACTCAAAAACATTGACAAATGGAGTTTTAAAAATACCTTGTTATATGTTTTATATGTGTTTGTGTTTATACATATTAATTTTTATTTATTTATTTTTTAAAAACTGGTCTTAACAGCCCAGTTTCTTATACAAGCTTCGTGGTCTTTGCATATTAAAATGTTTATGATTAAGTTGACAATAAAAAAGAAAATTTAAAAATCCTAACAATTTGAGCTGTTCAAATATGGAATGGGTTGCCTATGGTATTAGTGGGTTCCTGCCCATGAGTGGTCTTCAAACAGATACTACTACTTATTGGAGTTGTAATGTAAGAGATGCTCCTTTGCCGGCAGGACTGAAAAGTTTCTGAGGCTGACTCCTTGAACCTTCAGGAAATTACCTTTTTCTGTGGGTTCTGTTCATTCTGCAGCGTCTGTAAGATTCTTAAAGGGGGGAGGTGGGTGGGGAGAACTCATGGAGAAAGGGGAAGAGATGGAGCCCTCAATCAAGATGGCGTCCTTGGCTTCATTTGCCCTTCCACTATGGCCAATAGAGTTATGGTTTTGAGGCCAGGACCCGCTACGTTGACCAATTAGGCCTTGCATGATGCAACGAGGGTGACTCTGGGAGCGTTACAGCAAAGTAGTGTGGAGGTGGTGCAGAAACGACTGTGCCTGGAGGTGATCTGCAGAGGTGATCAGGATGGTGTTGGGTAAGTTTGAGGGGAGAGAAGGAGAGAGAATCTGGGACCTACAGAGGAGAGCATTCTTAGCTGAAACTGGAATCTAATGAGGAGACTATGTTCGGGAAATTGGGCAGGGTAATAACTCCAGTTCTTTCATGCGTTCATTCATTCAACATTTATTTGGAACGTATTGTGTTCAACTCAGTGAGCTGCATAAAGATAAATGGATCTTTATCCTTCAAGGACCATAATAAATAACATTTATATGGAGCTTTAAGATTCTTAAAGCACGTTGCATGTATTATCTTGCGTGATCCTCACCTGCGAGGTAAGTGCCATTATTATCCTAGTTGTATGGATAAGGAAGTGTAAGTGACTTGCCCAGGGTCATCTAGTAACTTGTCAGAGGAAGGTCTTGAACCCTCATCTTTCCAACCCTCATCTTTCCAACTTCAGGAGCTATGTCCACATAAAGTACACAGGAAAGGAGACCGTCGTAAATGCCACAAAAGTGTTACAAGCTAAATGCTGGGGAAAGTGAGGACGTACCCCCGCCCCCTTCACTTGGGTGTAGGTACCGGACCAGGAGAAGGAAGCTGCGCCAGTCCTGGGGGCGGGCGGGTGTGTTTCTGTGCCGCAGGAAGTGTACCTCCCTCCCTCCACCCCGGAGTCCTCAGCCCGGTGCTTTGGAAGTTGCTTTCTCAGCACAGTGCAAGATAAGCGATTGATGCTTTTGTCACTAACGGTTTTATTGATGGGTTTTGTTATATATTATTTGCATTTGCTCTGACTTTGTAACAAAGTAAAACAGTTAAGTAAAACTAATACAATTGAAGTCACTAACATTTTATATCTGTAGCACGCTTTTTTCTATTTAAAAACAAAAACCCAGAAATCGATTATCACCCCATTCCAGGGAAAAAAAAGAAAAAGTAAATTTCTTGCATGCATAGTCAAGCCCAACAAATTCCCTTGCTTCGTGCGTAGGAGAAGCTCAATAAATATTTCCTTCATTCATTATCAGCGACTGCAGCTTTTGCAGCTGGGATGTCTGCTGCTTTCAGTTCCGAGGGTCTGGGTTGATTGGCTGGGTCTGGGTGATTCTCTCCCCTGCGGAGGAGGGGCAGAGGCTTCCACAGTAGTTCGTGAGCTTCCGGGACGCCTCCACGTCACCAGGGCGGCTTCTCCTGGCTTTCCCCTAGAGCGGGGAGCTGGACACCCAGGGGGTCTACAGAACTGGGTGGGGGCGGGGCTTAGTACCATGTTCCGGAAGTTCTCGTTAGTGTTCCTTTCCCCTGAACTAACATGGCGGCTTCGGCGTCTGTTGCCCTCACCTCTTGTCCAATGGAGCTGGGATTCGGCCATGAGTCACTGGGCGGCCGGGGAGGTGCCAGTCTGATGCAACACATGGGACTCGGGGTAATCCGGGAAGGTGCCGCCGCGGCTGCTGCACGTTGCCCGTTGTGGTCAAGGCTGGGTTGAAATGGCTCTGGAGGTGACCCACGCGGTGGCCGGGCTTGGGCTGGGTGAGTGCCGGGCCCGGGACGAGCGGAACTGTCGAGGTTTCCGGGGAAGCCGGCACAGCGCCGGCATCCGCTGCCCGGGGCCCTGGCGATCTGGCGGGGCCCAAGCCGGGGGCCCTGTGGTGTCTGCCGACGGTAGGCCCGAAGCCAGCGGCTGCCCGTGGCCATTGCTGCCTGCTCCGGGTCGTTTTGATGCACCTCCCCCCCCATTCCTTCTGTAACATTCCCTCCCTCCCTTTTCCGTATGACAAGTAGGTATTAATCAAGTTATAATAGTTATGCCTAGAAAGTATAATCAATATTCAATTAATATATAATATTCATAATAATTAAGCCAGGGCCTCCACGTGGACTCGTGATTAATACCCTAAATGTTTAGTCTTAGTGAAGTTTTTGTGTTTATAACATGGCCAGATTTGTAGCAGAAATATATTTTCACTTGGTGGGATACTGCGGGTTTTCTTTATGTTAATAGGATTCCAGATTTAAATCTGGACAGGACTGCAGAGGTCTTCTAGTTCAGGCAATCCTAACTTTTTTTGTGCCTTGGACACTTTTGGTAATCTGGTGAAGTCTGTGGATCCCTTTTCAGTAACTTTTTTTTCTTGATGCATATAATAAAATACATAGGATTGTAAAGGAAACCAATTATATTGAAATGCATTTAGCCGGATACATAAAAAAAAGAAAAAGCAAGTTCATGGACTCCAGGTTAAGCCTGATTTAGCTCCCTATTTCATTTTTTCCCTTATTTTCAATTGGGCATTTTTTTTCTTTCCTTCTCATTCTCTTTAAAAGAAAAAAAGAAAAGCCCATGTAATACATATTCACAGTTACACAAAACAAATTTCCATTTGGTCCATGTCCAAAAATGTCGTGTCTCGTTCTGTATTTTGAGGCCATAACCTAATTGTTAGGAGATAGGTGGCCTAGTTCATCATTGTCCTCTGGAATCATGGTTTGATCATAGCATTGATAGAAGTTCTTAAGTCTTTAAAAGGGGTTTGTCATTCAATTGACTATTGTATAAATTGTTCTTCTAGTTTTGTTTGCTGTATTTCTATATCAGTTTGTACAAGTCTTCCTAGGTTTCCCTGAACATGCTTCAATATTATTCCGTTGCATTAATATATAGTGATTTTTTTTCCAGCCTTTCCCCAACTGGCAGGTACTCCTTTAGTTTCCATTTCTGTAAGTGTTTTTCATTTTAAAAATTAAGGAAGGACTCCCAGAAAGGTTAAGTGCCTTGTCAGTATCATTAAGTTAAAGAACTAGTAGGAACAGAGCCAGAATATGAACCTAAGTCCTGATTCTGAATCCAGTATTCATCCGACAATACCAGGATACGGATAGCATTAAAATATAATGGTTTTGTTAAAGGATGGGGGTGGTCTAAGGTGGTTATCATAGTAAATACTGTGTCATTTTTCAGTCAGTACTATACTTATAAATGGAAGCATATCTTCTATTAAATTCATAAAGAAAAAAAGAGATTAATACAATTTTGGAGTAAGTACCTGTTACCTGAAAGAACTGTTGACATAGTTAACATGTTGATTCTTTTCTCTCTCTACCCCCCCTTTTTTTTTTAATTAACAGGGGAACTGTATGTCTCACATCGAGAGGGAAGTGATGCAACTGGTGATGGAACAAAAGAGAAACCTTTCAAAACAGGCCTAAAGGTATTCTCTCCCTTCTCACTTAAAATTAAATGATGCTTAACACAATATTATAGTAGAAGAAGTGATAGACGTGGAGTCAGGAAAGTCCTGGATTCATATCCTTCCTCCAGTACTTGGTAGTTACATGACCTCAGCCAAATCTCTTCATCTCTCTGAACTTCACAGGGTAGTTCTGAGAATCAAATGATGTAATATGTATAAATCACTTCGTAAACTTTGAGGCACTATCTAAGTAATGAAATGATTGGGGATATATGTGGATGAAGAATCAGACCCTCGGGGCAGCTAGGTGGGGCAGTGGATAGAGAACCAGCCCTGGATTTTGCAGGACCTGAGTTTAAATCCAGCCTCATTCACATAACACTTACTAGCTGTGTGACCATGGGCAAGTCACTCAACCTCATTGCCTAGCCAAAAAAAAAAAAAAGAATCAGACTCTAACTTAGTACCTTCAGAAATTTGTCACCTTCAGCACGGACCTCTTCTGTGTGATCCTACTCCAGCTGTTTTTCCCCATCTTGCTTTTCTTTAATGCTATTTCCACTACCCTGTCATCATTTGAGTCCAAATCAGTATACCTGTGGTGATTATAAAAGTCTTTATATTTTTCAGTTTTTCAAAAAAGATTTATCCTTTCTTTTTGATCTTTAAATGCCTTTAAGATGACCTGGCTTAGTTGACTCTCCATGCTTTCTATTTAAACTTGTTTTGCCTTCTGTTGCTTCTTAATGTTTTTATTTTAGTTTTTTACTTTTTAGCCCATATTAATTATAATCTACTTTAATGACTCGCCATATCTTGGAGGTGAACTTAGATTCATGATGGGCCTGTCTTTGGCACTTGAACTCTGGCAGTATTTGCTAGGGCACAGTCTTGGTTTACAGGACCAGCCTAAGTTTAGAGATGCTCCTTACCAGTTAGCTGGCTTTTCATTGATGAACTTTTTGGATGTGGCCATCCATGAAAGGAGGACATATGTAACGATTAATAATAATAATGATAACAATTACAACTCGCATTTATATGGTGCTTTAAGGTCTACAAATCAGCTTAACAGTAGTCATGAAGTTTTTTTGAAAGTGGTGGGTAAACTATAGGACTAGAGGTTAGGAGTTCCAGTTTTGCCATTAGTGGTTTATGTTGTAATTCTGTAATTCTGAGGTCTTATAGCAATTACTCTTAAACCTGATTTTAAAAAAATAATTTTAGTATCATTGATTAAAGCTTTAATCTTAGAAGCCATTTAGACCAATCTTATTTTTACAGATGAGAAAACTGAGGTTTAGAGAAGTTAAGTGATTTGTGCATAGTTACATAACTTACTGCAGAAGTTTGGTGGTGCAGTAGATTGAGAGCTAGGCCCAGAGTCAGGAAGATCTGAGTTCAAATTTGGCCTCATTGACACCTGCCTCACTTCCTCATCTATAAAATGATCTGGAGAAGGAAATGGCAAGCCACTTCAATATCTTTCTCAAGAAAACCCCAAATAAGGTCACGACTAAAACAACTGAACAACAGAGAAATACTTTTAATAATCAATGAACAATAGGCCTAACAAGATCTTTTTCTGCCTTTCATTTAATTGTGAGATGGTAACGGTGTGATCCATTTTTAAATAGCCTTTGCAAGAATGCCTTCTTGTTCCCCACTGATACTCTCGTTGAGGATGTCCCCAATTTGTGTATAAATGACCCTCATAAAATTGTGTAAATATGGGAGAGTAGGCACATAGATTAGTAGTTGTTCATGATAACCCTTTCTGGGGGAAGAATCATTAAAGTCCAGCATTTATTCTATACCTTTAGTTAGTGCCTCAATTACCTTATGGTTATATTGCCTTCAACATGGTTCTCCTCTATATGGATATGTGTACATAATCTAATCTGGCTACATTTCTCACCTTTGTTCACTTTAGTGCCATTTTTACTTCTTCCACAGTTAACATCAGGTTCTCTGATGTTAAGGTCCAGGGGTAATGGTTTCACTATCCTGGATGGAGAAATCAGTCAATCAGCAAGCATTTATTAAGTACCTTCTATGTTCAGGCACCATGGAAGCTACTAGGGATGGAAGTACAAAGAATAAAGTCCCTGTTGACAAGGAGATTACGTTTCAATGGGATGAAACAAGTCAAAATACTTTTTGTGAATGTTTTCCATTTCTTTTGTCCTATTTCTGTTTTCCTTCTTAAATGCCTTGAGCTGACTTTGCTTAATTGGCTGTCTTACCAAGTTTCCTTTAGACTAACTTAACTCTCCGCTGCTTCTCTTTGCTTTATGAAACTATATCATAATCATTCATCATCTTTCTTCTAAGATTTTATGGATGAATTTATATTCTAACTTGGTATTTTCTTTGACAGCCATCTCTACATTTGGCAAGTGAGTCATATTTTCTGACTAAGATACTTTCTGGATCTATTTGATCTTGTAATAATTACTTTATATTGCTTTAATTTTTAGGTGAAGTTATTATAGTCAGTGTGTACATCTTTTCTGTTGGCCATTTCCTGGTTTAAATTTTCAGTAGCTTATTTAGATAATTCAGATTCAAATCACTTCTAATGTACAATATTTTCCTCATTATTGTTCTGTTTATTATAAAATCTGGTCTTAGCTCTAATGATTTGATGGTCTGACTGCACAACAGACTTAGGGAGAACTCCTACCCCAAAATAATTTTTTTTCCTGTCTTTTAAAATGTAGCCAGTTTCATTATTTATGATTTTGTTTGGTATTTACCATGTTCACTGCCAACCGATTATTTATTTTGAAGAAAGTGTTTATGATATAGAGGCACAAAACTTCTGTGTAATGTATAAGGCTTTGTTTTCTTTCATTTCTTCCTCTTGAATCTTACTTTCTCATATTTCTCTCCATCCTTCTCTCTCCCACCTTTGATTTTAAGTCACCAAGTGTCAGAGTAAATATTGATTTGATTTGAAGAGCCTTATCGAGTTCTTCTTGTATTTCTCTATCACTTTATCTACAACAGCTGATATTGTGTAACTTAAAATTATTATTGTCATGTTGGTCTTTTTGTAAATACTTATCATTAGTACTGCAGTATGTGATGCTGGTTTCCTATGAGATCACATTTTTTTAAATTTTGGAATATACAATAAAAACTACTTTGGGAGCAACTAGGTGGCACAGTGAATAGTGCACCAGCCCTGGAGTCAGGGGAACCTGAGTTCAAATCCAGTCTCAGACCAGACACTTGACACTTACTAGCTGTGTGACACTGGGCAAGTCACTTAACCCCAATTGCTTCACAAAAAAAACCCAAAAACAAAAAACTACTTTGCCAAGTCAACCCCTTTCTTTGCATCTCCAAGGAGTATTTGTGAGTCATCCTGCAGTGGCCTTTCCTGTTTCCATTTATAGCAAGGATGTCCAAATTAATAGGATTAACCTCTTTCAGTAATATGTCCATGCATCAGTCATTGGAAAAAATGTTGCATTTAAAGTACCAACAGTCAAGTTAAAAGTGGATGGTCTATGTAATTCTTAGCATCTTCTACCCTTTTTCCTTCCACTCTACCACTGTGACTACAGAAGAATAAGGGTGCCATACAGGACCTAGGGCCATTTTAAATTTTTTCATAGTTTGCGAGTTGCCAAGGCTAAAATAGCTTTATTACTAGGTGACCACCTTATTAGTGACATGCCCACAACCAACAGTTATTCAAGAAATTCTTGACTTCAGAATATTCCTCTGTCTAAGTGGAATATCTCAGCCTGTTACCACAGTCTCCTTAATGAGGAGAGTCAGGTTTTTTGTTTAATATGCCTTGTACAGGCATATATATAAGTATAATATGCCAAACCACCTAGAGTTGATTCAGTAGATTCCTGTCATAGTAGCTTTTCTAATTGCATTTGTGTGTGTGCATCTGTCTGAGCACCTGAACATTCATTTATTTATTTCTAGGCCTTATGTTCATTCCAGACTAAAATTGCAATGTTGGCTTTATTCAATTAAAACTCTTATCTGCTAGGTAGTAAGGACAATCAGGTGCTAGTCAGGTCTGGGCAAGTTGTGTCAAACAGAACTGTAACCATAAATATACACATATGTATTTTATAATGTAGCTATGACACTGTGATTTTAAAATAATCTTTTTACAACTTCATGTTTCCCAGAGCTCTTACTATTCTGAGACTTTATAGCTATCTGATTGACACGAGTTGACTAGGCCTTAAAACAGTTAGGAGAGTTGTTTTACCTGGATAAGGCCAACACTGCAATTTTAGGCTGGAATTTGCATAAATATTCAGAAAGAGGCCACAAGTTGGTACAATTAGAAAAGCCACTGTCCTTATGAGAGGAGCCTATTGATTTCTTCCTGAACCATTCGGCTGAAAGTATTTAAGTGAGGTGGGGAATTTAGCTAATTATGTATAAATTCAATTAAAAATATTTATTAAACAAATATTAGTTGCAAAATATTGTACTAGATGCTGATGATAACAAAGAAAAAACTGAAACTATCTTTTGCCCCAAGGATAGGGATTAGACCTGTGATTTTATCAGTTTTAGGAAATTCCCTCTAACCAAGGAGGTTGACACCTTATCTGCAATTTAAGAGTCTTGGAGAGTTGCTCAGAGCACCGAATGGTTAAATGACTTGCCCAAGTTACACAGCCAATTTGTGTCAGAAGCAGGACTTCCTACCGCTGAGGCCAGTTCTTTATTGACCACACCACACTTACCTCTGTGCCCTACAAAGTCTATAAATATATCATAAGGTAGGGGATAATGGAAGCAAAGAGAGATCTCTGATCAGGGGCTTTGGTGGGAAATAATTGGGGAAGAATTCATTTTGATTTAGAAGCATTGGAAAAGGCTAGGTGGAATATCTGACACCTGAACTTAGCCTTGGAGGAAGAGATTGGAAAGATAGAGATGTGGGGGGATGGGACCTTCTAACAGGGTTGTCCCAGTCACTGGGAATGACCCAGGCATTGGAAGTGGCATATTGAGGGAAGAACTCATGGTTCTGCTTGATTGAAACCTAGTTGTTTGGGGGGGGGTGGAGGAGGGAGAAGGAGGGTGAGGAGATTGCATTTTATCCTAGTGGCAATAAGGAGTCACTTAGCAGGAGAATGACATGGTTAAATTTGTGCTTTAGAAAGTTTATTTTGGCAGCTTTGTGATGGATTGGAAAGGGGAGAGGGATTAAAAGGTGGTTGCAGAGTCCAGGTGAGTGATGATAAGGGTCAGAACAAGAGTTGGTTGCTATGTGAGGTGGCAGTGGAGGTGGAAGAGAGAAAAGACAATGGAGGGAAAAGGTGTTTTGGAAGTAAACTCCAGAAGTAGGTACCTGATTAGAAATGATAATAGGGAAAGGAAAAAAAAAATCACGCCAATGTTTCAAACTTTGGTGGTCACTTTTGGAATTCTGAGTATTGGAAAGAAGACACTTTACATTTCTTTATTGTCTTAAGAGTTAGTTGTTTGAGAGTTTTCAGAAATATTAAAATCTGTCTTCCAGGTAGTTGACCATCTTTAAATAAGTGGGATATTTGTACAATTCTAAGCAGAGAGACAGTCTGGTAGAGCAAAAAGGGTGCTCGTGGGAATTCTTGGGGTTTTAAATCCTGTGTGTCCATTGTCATTTACTCTTTTTAAGCCAGAAGTTTTTTATCATGGGATAATAATAACCATAGTACTTAACTTCATAGGGTTGTTTTTAGAATCAGTAGAGATAGGGTACTTGCAACATTTTGTAATTCTTAAACCTCTATTTGAATATCAGCTGTTATTAATTCCATAAACATTATATAATGAATATTATATCTAATATTATAGATCTTTTCTTATTTTTAAGGCTTTGATGACAGCAGGAAAGGAGCCATTTCCTACCATTTATGTGGATTCACAGAAAGAAAATGAGGTTAAGTATCTTAACATTTTGTCAGTTTTTTCATTTTAGGAATAATTAAGCCTGCTAATAGGCCTTGCAAATAAATGTGTTTGTTTATCTCTTTTTAGAGATGGGATGTTATTTCCAAATCGCAGATGAAGAACATTAAAAAAATATGGCACAGGGAACGAATGAAGAATGAATCCCGAGATCAAAAAGAGGTGAGTAAAGAATGAGATGTTGTTTTGGTTTTTTTGTTTTTTCTCAAGTTTGGCAAGTAAAAGCAATTTTCTGACAAGGTGCTTTTATCTCTAACATTAGGCAGAAGACAATTTAAGACGAGAAAAAAACCTAGAAGAAGCAAAGAAGATAACCATTAAACAGGATCCAAGTCTTCCAGAGGCAATATGTGTAAGCAAAGTCAGATTGTTTCATGTCTTTTAGGCTTTAAAACAAAGATTCTTGTGCAACAAAAGAATTTTTATATGTTCAGTGTCTTGAAGGAATGTAATTGATGAATATATTCCTTTTAAGCTGTTTTCCTTGTTGGCTCTTTAAGGCATGGGAAAAGACAGTTTTTGATTTAAAACTATTTTATCATTTAATAACCAGTGTACTTGATTTGGAGGTATACAGAATCAAATTGCTTTGATTTTTTTCAAGTCCTTTATTTCTGCTCTACTTATGGTGCAACAGCCCTCTCCAATGTTGCTAATGACTTCATTATTGCCAAATCCAAAGACCTCTTTTCAATCGATGCTGAATTCAGGAGAAAGCAAATAGACTGATTTAGGTGGAACATAGAGCATGTGGAGGGGAGTAATATGATATAAGCATTGACAGGTGGGTTGGAAGCCTGATTATGGAGGCTTTAAATGGTCAGCTTAGGAGTTGGCATTTTGTTCAGAAGCCAACTGAAGAATTTTGAGCAGGGGACTGATGTGATCCGACTGGGAATATCATTGTGGTGGCTGTGTGAAAATGAATTGGAGAGGAGAAACTGGAGACAAGGAGACCAATAAGGAGGCTACAGCAAGGTCTTTGTAAGAAATCATGAGGATGTGACCTGGGCAGGTGGCCAGAATGACCAGAAGGAAATGCATAGGAGACATGTGTTGGAGAAGTGACAGCTCAGTAGCCAGTGGGAGATACGATTGCTAGGGAGGGGGAAGAAAAGGGTGACTCTGAGATGGGAATCCCAGGTGGCTAGAACGGTGTTCATAACCTAACGGAGCTGGTATCTAGACAGAAAGAAGCTAGTGAGTTTCATTTGGACACATTGAGTTTGAGGTACCATTGGGACATCTGGGTGTAGATGAGTATTTCTCATCTCCTTCCCATTCCCTACTTACTGTTCAGCTTAACTAGTATAATAACCTATTATTCTGATCTCTTTTCTGTCCTTTCATCCTTAACACATTCAACCAAGTAATCTTCATAATGTGCCATTTGGTCATATTCTCCACACAAAACTCTTCATTGGCTTCCCATTGCTTGCTGACTGTTGTTCCGGGATTCAAGGCTGGCCACAATCTAGTTTAAACTACCTTTTCAAGTATTGTTTCACATTATTCCCCTAATGTACTTCTATATTGAGGCAGGTAGGTGGTGAAGTGGATAGAGGGCTGGGCCTAGAGACAGGAAAACTCACCTTGAGTTCAAATCTGGCCTATCTTGCAAACAAAGTGGATTACTGCTCTCAGGCACTATTGTTCTTTCCTCTCCTTTCCTTGTATGTTTACTCATGCCATGTTCCATACCTGAAATGAAATTCCTTTCAACGTTTTCTTCCACTGTAGTCTCTGTTGAAATCACTGTCTTTTTTCAAGGCTGTATCTTTTCCACGAGGCCTCCTATGACTGCTCCATCCTCCTAAGTGGAAAGTGATCACTTCCCTGCAGAAATTTTTCTAGTATTTTACCCAGATTTGTTAGCACTTATCAGGTAGTCTCCCTTGTATTGTCACTATTTGTATATATGACTTTTCCCCCATGTTCTTTCAGAGCTGAAATGATGTCTTGTTTCATCTTGGCATTCCTGCTCCCAGCACATTGCCTTTCACATAGTGAGTGTTTTGCAGAACTTGAATTTTGCTGTGCTTGCTATATAATTGATTTTTACATAGTGATCTAAAGGAATGTGTATAACTGAGTATAAATAAATTTCTTTTCATTTTTTTCTAGTTAACTTTTGGAGCTGATCCCCTAGGCCTACCTCCTAGGTTTTCCAACACTTACCATTCTACTTCATAAATGAAGAATGTCTTCTTTTTTGTACACACTTTGCCTCTACCCTTTCCCCTACCTGCAACCCTTGTAAATAAGATTCTAGCTGTCTTTTCCTGGATCATTCATTCCCAAGTCTCAGGTTCTGTTTATAAAAGTGATTAGCTCAGTGATGTCAAAGAAGGGGTGCTATTCTGACCGGGAGTTGAGATTTTTGGTGCTTCAGTGAACAAGTTCCTCCTTTTTTGTAGTATCAGGGAAGAGAAGTAATACTGAACCATTTTTATCATCTGATCAATTCAGGGAGGGCATGTTCATGTTTTGGGGTCTGTTGCAAATATCTGTATGCCTGAAACTCCCAGGTGGCTTTTATTTCTTCCTTATTCTGGATTGGAAATCAAGAGAACAAAATTTTAGTTCTTTCCCAAATAGCTTTTTAACCTTAAGCAAGATTTCTGATATTTCTTTCAGCTGTAATGTTTTGTGATCACAACTTCTCTGACTCAGTTTCATGATCTGTAAAATAGGGATAATATTTGCTTTGCCTACCTTCCAACAGGTATTGGGAGGATTGTTATATGTTTCTGCTTTACAAGCTCAGTCCCTGGGCTGAATCATTTTCTTTGCTCTTCTCCATCCTGTCTCTTTTTTCTTTTCTGACCATTTTTCTAGTTTAATGAAGTAGTTTTGAATATCACTTCTATTTTCCAACACCCCCAGATTTTACATTGATAGTGGATTTTAATAGCTCTTATGATTTCATTGTCCAAATCATTGGTGGAAAGTTGGGTTGTGTGATAAATGATGAATTTTATTAATAAGTTGTAATCCTTGTGTGACAGGTAAAGATTCGTGCGTTAGAAGCACATCGAGGCCAACGAGTGAAGGTGTTTGGCTGGGTCCACAGGTTACGTAGGCAAGGTAAGTTGGTGTCCTCTGTCTGTTTTTAATTTAAAGTCTTAGTAGACTTATCAGGATGAAGAACATTTCTATTTACTTAAAAACAGTGGTAATAAACCTAGTGCATTGTGCCGTAGCTTGTCCCATGTTACAGAAAGTCATTTCAGATAAGTGGCCTCTTTGAGACCACATTGGTGTTTTTTAGTGTTTCCTTTTCTTCCTTTCCTCCTGCTCCCCCTTCCAAAAAAAAAAGAGAAAAAAAATACTTTTTTTCCTGTGTTTTTCCTTTTCTTTAAGAGGCAGGGGTGAATTCATTTTGACTCCATTCCCTTTCCCTTGGGTTCCCCTACTAAGTTCCTCTGTGGTCCAAAGTCAAGAGATTGCCAGCTCTGCCCTTCTCTTTACCACATGAGGTCAGGCAGATTCTTTACCTTCTGTGAGCCTTACTTAGATGTTGGATTAGATCAGAGCTTCTTAACCTGGGATCTCTGAACTTGAAAAAAATTTTTGATAACTATATTTAAATATAATTGGTCTTCTTTGTAAGTCTGTGAACTTTATACATCTAAAAAATTATCCTAAGAAGAAATACGTAGGCTTCGGTGAGCTGCGGCAGGAATCCATGACTTTAGAAAAGATTGAAAACCCTGGACTGAGGGATCTCAGAGGTCTCTTCCAGACCTAGTTCTAGGCTCTTGTGATCCTGGACAAATTACAGCCTCTGTGAGCTTCAGTTTCCTTATCATTCAATAAAATGAGGGGGTTGTTTCCCTGGGGTCATGAATGTATTTTTTTTTAAAGTTGATAACTCAGTATAAATAATGGAATTTCTTTGTAATTCTATGTATTTAAAAATCTTACTGTGAGATCAGATCCCAGCCCTTTCTCATGCTGTCATGACACAAAAATGGTTAGTATCTCCTGGACTAGGATCACTGAATTCCCTTTCTTCTGTAGAATTGTGTAAAACTAACTTGATATGAGGTCTTAGTCGTGTTACTTAGTTAACACTGTCCTGTCCCTCAATTTATTAATCTGCCATCTGTGAATGATAATTCCTGTTTCACTTAATTATACTAAATTGTGAGGTTATTTTGTTTTTAATGAGGACCTCATAACATAATAGATGTAAAAATGCTTTGAAAACATTAAAAGCACTATGGTAATAATATAAATGAGCACTTATTTCTCCAAAGGAAAGCTGAGAAATATGGTGAGTTTGATAAACTCGTTATACTTTTGTATAGTTTTTATAAACTACATAAAAGGTGAATTATAAACATCCTAATAGCATCTCTAAGAAAAAAAAATACTTTTCTTCTTGTTTTTAGGGAAGAATTTAATGTTTCTTATATTAAGAGATGGTTCAGGATATCTTCAATGTGTCTTGTCAGATGAACTGGTAATTATTTTTTTCTCTCTTATAAAAATGGCCCATCTTTTTAAATATCCAAGTATTTTATGTGTGACAGTTTAGTGAAAAGATAGCTTTCAGCTTTATAGTAAATTATTTTTAAAACCTATGGATTTGAAAGGAAGACTTGAATAATACTTTGCTGGTGAGAACCTAAGAAATTGCTTTGTATGATGAGTGAAGTCACAGTATGTCAGTTTTCCCTTAAATGAAGGTTAATCAGTTTCATTGTTTTAAATAGAAAATTCGAGATATTTATTGTATTATTGCTTTGGGTTGTGAATTATAATTTGTCTAATGCCTTTCTCAGTTTCTAGTCATTTATACCCTCACAGAGTCCTTACAATAGAGATACATCTTGATTTCCTCTTTTAAAAAATTTCTCTTTAACGTTAAGAATTTTGCCAAACATTAAGAGTAAGTTCAGAATTAAGTTCAGAATATGAAAGGATTAGACTTGTTTCATACAAAGTAAATTGTTTGTTAATAACACCCCCCTTATTCTTTATATGGTAACCTAGTTAAGTAAGAGTAGACAATTCTGCTAAAAAAAAATGACCTTCTTTCTTGTATAGTGTCAGTGTTACAATGGAGTGGTCTTGTCTACAGAGAGTAGTGTGGCAGTGTATGGAACTCTCAATCTTACACCAGAAGGCAAGCAGGTAAGTGTGTGGAATTATTTATCCAAAAATGTTTTAAATAATATTTAATAAAAGAAAACCTTCAGATTATAATCATGAGATTTTAGTGTTTATACTGTAGTTAACATGTTGACACATCAATATTTAATTAGTTATCAACTGAGAGAAAGCAGCTTTTGATGGAGGAAAAAATGTGATTGATTAGCCACCAGAGGGAGCTCACAAGAATCATAGATACTGGCAAGAAATACTTGGAGAGAGGCACTTCCATTTGTGTGGAAGATTGGGTTTAAGGCATTACAATTTCTTTGCGAGCAATGTGATTGAAAAATAGCAGGAGTTAAATTTCTGTACCAGCAACTCTCTTGCTTTAATTGTCCCCCAAATTAGCTTCCTTATTCCTTGTTTAGCCAAATTATATAGAACACTTGCTTCCCTTAATGATTACTGGGGGACTGATTATTCCTCATTTGTTTCAGATAGAAGAACCATTAAATGTTTACGTAGTTTAAATAGTCCTTTTCAGTTTCAGTAAATATTAATTTTTTTTAAACTATTAACCATGGTGTTATCAGTGGATAGAGAATTGACCTCAGAGTCAGGAAGTCTTGGGCTCAAGTTCTGGTTGTGTGGCCATGGAAAGTCACCCAGCCTCTCAGTGTCGCCAGCTGACTCTAAGATTTGTGAGTTAAAAGAACATTGATAGAAGGAGTTCTCTTACTGGGAGTTCTCTTTATTAATGAAATTACAGGTTTGGGTCAGCCCCCTTATGCAAAATTCATAATGACCTACTTTAGGATTATAGAATAGTATAACTATGTATTTATACTATAAAATTTATAGTATAAATAGTATAAAATATATCTATTTTGTTTTATAATTCTTTTTGTTCTCTCATCCTTTTTTTCAAAATACACGTAGGCGCCAGGAGGCCATGAGCTGAGCTGTGACTATTGGGAATTGATTGGCTTAGCCCCTGCTGGAGGAGCTGATAACCTGATAAATGAAGAGTCTGATGTAGATGTCCAACTTAATAACAGACACATGATGATCCGAGGAGAGAACATGTCCAAAATCTTGAAAGCCCGTTCAGTGGTCACCAGATGCTTTAGAGATCACTTTTTTGATAGGGGATATCACGAAGTAAGTATTACATGCTTTTCTGTTGCACAAACCTTTTTTTCCTGTTTTAGAATGATAAAGGCTAGCTCTCATTTTAAAGGTTTTTAAAAAATACTCATTTGTTCTTTTTTTTTTTAATTAACAGATCACTCCTCCAACATTAGTACAAACACAGGTGGAAGGTGGTGCCACACTTTTTAAACTTGACTATTTTGGAGAAGAGGCATTTTTGACTCAGTCATCTCAATTATATTTGGAGACTTGCCTCCCAGCTTTAGGAGATGTCTTTTGTATTGCTCAGTCATACAGAGCAGAACAGTCCAGGACACGAAGACACCTATCAGAGTATGGGAGTGCCATTTTCTTCTTTTTTTATCTATTCACAGGAAAAGCATCTTGTATGATGTCTTTGTAGCAAGACTTTGATTTGTATAGTATATATGTGAGAAGTATAATTTTAAATGATAATTGTGAAGTTTTGCTTTCCCTAGGAAAATGTCAGTTATGATACTTAGAAGAGGAATAGAAGAAATTTATCTGTTAGTTCACTATGACTATCCTCTGATTGTTAGAAAGAATAAGCAAGAAATTGCTGATTTAAGGGACCCCAGTATTAGAACTGAATATTAATAGTTATTGCTGTTGGGATGCTACCTTCCTAGAGAGTTTTCCATTATTAAAATTCTTTGTGTTTGAGTAAAAGTAAGTCAGTAGTGGCCCTGAAATGGTCTGATGTCATCTTTTTCCTCAGGTACACTCACGTTGAAGCTGAGTGCCCTTTCCTGACTTTTGATGATCTCCTAAACCGTCTGGAAGACTTGGTTTGTGATGTAGTAGACAGGATCTTGAAATCACCTGCAGCAAACTTAGTACATGAACTCAACCCGGTATGCATTCTAATGGAAGTGTGTATGAGCTAAAACAGTTGAAGAACCAAAAATGACTGTCTTGTGGTTTTAATTTTGTAATAATTGGTTTATATAAGAGAGTGTTCTTGGTAACTTATCCATTATGTTTTTACTGAAGATACAGTTTTGGTTTTTAAAAAATGGCCTTAAATGATATACAACTGCCTGCTCTACAGTTCTTCACATCTTTTGGCAGTGGGGCCTTGGCATTCAACATCATTTAAATCCTAAATGATTCACTGAGTGTTTCATAAAGAGACTTTCAGTAGTACTATTTGTCATTAATGGGGAATCCCTATCCCTTTTTGTAGAAAACATATATGAATGTTACCAACAAACTTGTAACAGGAGACTCATGTCAGTTGGCCTAACATGTTGACAATCAGTTTTAGACTTTGAGGCACCAACATTGCCTTGATGGCTAAAAAAGCTTCCCTAACTGCTCTGACTTGCAAACTTTGAACCAAGTAGCCTACTTGGTTAGAGTATGATGCTATTACAACTTGTAGCCCAATTGGATTTGCTCAGAGAAAGGAACATTCTTTTCCCATGGATGGACTAATGTGGACTTTGGATCACAGAGATGGTAATGTTGAGAGTGTGGCTGGTTCAACATAAATCCCCCTCACTTCTGGGCAAGTCATTCTGGACTTTGATTTCATCATCTGTAAAATGAAGGCACTGACCTTTTAGGATCTGTAAGGGCTCTTCCTACAGTAATAATTTGTGACTGGATATAGTTTTAGAAGTCATTTTTTCGAAGTTATTTTAAAATTACTGTGTGTTTTTTTTTTCATTCAGACTTTCACACCCCCCAAAAGACCTTTCAAACGGATGAACTATTCAGATGCCATTGTGTGGCTAAAGGAACATGATATAAAGAAGGAAGATGGCAACTATTATGAATTTGGAGAGGTAAGAAATGTTCTCCAGTTTTGGTTTTCCTTTCAAGGGGGACATTGCCTGTTACTGGAGCACATTTTTTATTAAAAAAAAAAAGTAAATGGGAAGCATCTGCCTGACTTCATCTTTTAAATTTTCCATCAGTGCCTCAGTCTTCATTATTTTCTTCCTTTACATCAGCAGTGGGAGAACACTAACCATGATTCTCTGGGCCAAGTAATAGCATTTTACCCAAATCCTTGTTTATTCATTTGCTGAATCATGAGGAAGGAATGAGGTAGTCATTGAAGGTTCAGTATGATGAGATGATTAAGGATAAGAGGCAAGAAGCAGCTAGAAGTTATAAAATGAAAAGCCTGAAGAGAGGAAAAGGAGGAGGTGAGAGGTGGCTGGGTCCAAGTGTCCCACTTACCTTGGATCAGTTATGGTCCTGCTGCTCAATGTCATGCATACTTTAAAGTTGCTATTCCTGCTGTAGCCCCCTCCTCATCTAGCTGCCCTTCTGCTACTCATTTCTCTTTAATTCTCTTTTAAGTGCTTACCAGGTGCTGTGTAGGGTTGATTTTTTTTAGAGGAGATTTAACATGTATGCTTCATATAATATTAATATTATACAATATAAGCAATCTGACAGATTTCCTGTTGCTAATCAAGGGTTAGCAGGGAAAGCCAAAGGTTCTGATAATCATATCATATGTGCAATATCATATACGTGATAGTAACATTCTTTTAAGTGTCTTTATGTTAACAGTAAGTATGTTAGCTACAATTTCTTGTTTCACCTTGAATATTTACACGTGATGCACTGAAATGCATATTCACTCAAACGTACTTAAAGACACAAAAGGATGTATGTGAAAACTGACTGGCTTGGTTTATTATCATCTCATGTTTTTAGCTATTTCATATGCAGTTTACACTTATAAATATGACCTTTTGGTTCACTTCCCTTTTGGATGTGTTTTACTGCTAGCCAAAGCATAATTGATAGAGAGGGTAAAGAGGTGCAAATAAGCATCATGAGTAAAGTTATAGATGGCTTTACTTTCCATGTAGATAATTGATACTCTGAAACCATCACTGATTACCTGATGCTCGTGGAACTAGTGAAACATCTCTACTTGAGAGCTAGATAAAATGAGTCATTGCAGTAATAACTGATAGACCCAAGCTCACTGGTTTCTAGTTTCTTTCATGAGTTATATATATTTTTGCTATTTACCTGATTTAAGCAGCATATTGTCTGAATTTCTTTATACTATTCAGGGAGGCAGGTGTCTTTTTGCTGTTAATTTAGCTGCTTCTTGAAGAATTTTGGAACATGTTAAAATTGCTTGTTTTGAAAATGAGGCTAAGCCTTCCATACTTTTCGTGACTTGTCTTAGTATGTTACATCAATAGGACAAAGGCCTGGTGCAGAGGGAGAGAGTTCTGGTGTCTTGTTGCATTTCTGGTTGTAAATGTTAATGAAGTCTTGTTTAACCTCAGGATATCCCAGAAGCCCCTGAGAGACTGATGACAGACACCATTAATGAACCAATCTTGCTGTGTCGATTTCCTGCAGAGATCAAGTCCTTCTACATGCCGAGATGTCCTGAGGATTCCCGGCTTACTGAATCTGTCAGTTGGTGATTCAAGTAGTATTAGGAGCCTTTCTTTTTAAGGGGGTGGGGATCACTGTTTGGAATGCTATGTAGCTTATTGTTTAAAACTTCAAATATTTTATTTCCAATACAGAATTATAAAATGGTTTCTGAAATTGTGGTGCTTATCAGTAGGCATGTGATTTGTTAAATTTTAGGCCGTGAATGATCAAAGTAAGCTTTAAGAGGTGCTTCTTCTCAGAACACAGTTCTGGCTTTCCTTTCAACTGTAGAGTAATGCCTGCATTTTTTTTGTTTTTCTGGATAGTTTCCTTGCCTGGTAGCAGCAGGCTTATGTAGCATCTTGTTCTCTTTATTTTTTAGGTAGATGTGTTGATGCCAAATGTTGGTGAGATTGTGGGAGGTTCCATGCGTATCTGGGATAATGAAGAACTGCTAAAAGGATATGAGAGAGAAAGCATTGATCCCACTCCTTACTATTGGTACACTGATCAGGTAAGTACAATGTTAGGGAAAAAATTTTTTTGGATCTTATTGACAGGGGCTATGTAACAAAGTTCTTTATTATTTGACACAATTGGTCAGCTTCGTGTGAAAATAACAACATACTGTTTCTTGCAAAATTTTATCATATTGAACTAAATAGACTGGTTAAGTTTAGCTTAGACATTTTCTGGTTTTTAATTTATGGTTTAGTACCTGTCTTCTTGATAATAACAAATTATCACCTTATATTTGGACTTCATTCGGATCTTCAGGCTAGAACTTTACCTGTGATGAGATGGGATGATTACTTTCCTAAAATTATTGCAGCCATTAGCTTGGGGTATTTAAAATAGTGTTCACAAAGCCACCTTCTTTCTGTTGGTGGTCCCATCTGTTCCTATTACTTAGCTTTCATCACATTTGCATACCACAATTTGTTCAACCATTCCCCAATTGATGAGCATCCCCTCAATTTCCAATTCTTTGCCACCACAAAAAGAGCTGCTATAAATATTTTTGTACACGTGGGTCCTTTTCCCATTTTTATGATCTCTTTGGGATATAGCCCTAGAAGTGCTATTGCTGTATCAAAGGGTATGCACATTTTTATAGCCCTTTGGGCATAGTTCCAAATTGCTGTCTAAAATGGTTGGATCATTTCACAACTCCGTCAGCAATGCATTAGTGTTCCAGTTTCCCCACGTCTTCTCCAGCATTTATCATTTTCCTGTTTTGTCTTGTTGGCCAATCTGATAGGTGTGATGTGGTACCTCAGAGTTGTTTGATTTGCATTTCTCTAATCAGTAGTGATTTAGAACATTTTTTTCATATGACTGTGTAGATGGTTTTAATTTCTTCATCTGAGAACTGCTTGTTCATATCCCTTGACCATTTATCAATGGGGAATGACTTATATTCTTAGAAATTTGACTTACTTCTGTATATGTTTTAGAAATGAGGCCCCTAGATTAATTTTTAATGCATGGCTCTGACTACATCACTCCACCGCTAAAAATTTTCATTGGCTTCCCATCATCCAGAAGGCAAGGGCTAATTAAGCTCCTTGTGTTGGCATTCAAAGTCCTCTACAATCTGGGTCCAGTTTTATCTTTGTCTCTCCATTTGTTATCCAGCCAAACTGGACTGCTCACAAAGATTCTGTGCTTTTACATCTTATGTTATATAGATTCCCAAGCCTGAAGCAGTCACCCTCCTTCCCATATTTCCAACCATTGAAATTCTAGCTTCCTTTTTTTGGGGGGGGGGTGCGGTGAGGCAATTGGGGTTAAGTGACTTGCCCAGAGATATGTAGCTAGTGAGTGTTGTGTGTCTGAGGCTAGATTTGAACTCAGGTCCTCCTAGCTCCAGGGCCGGTGTTCTATTCACTGTGCCATCTAGCTGCCCCATTCTAGCTATTCTTGTAAGGACATTTCAAACGCCACTTCTTCTATTGAAACCTCCCTATTTCTTCTAAGCCAGAAGTGAGCTTTCCCTTGTGAATAGTCAGAACTATTTTGGAGTCAGAACTGGGTTTGAATCTAGGCACAGTCCTTTTCTGGCTGAATCACCTTGGGCAAGTCACTTTATTTCTCTGGACCACTGTTTCCTTATTTGTACAGTGAGATCTGTTCTAGCTCTAAATTCATGATCTTATTTTTTTATGCACTTATAATATTCTGTTATCTTAGAGCCATTTGTATGTATGTCTTCTCTCTTCCACTAGATTATAAGTTCTTTGTACACAGGTGTCTTATTTGTCTTTGTATCTCGTATAGCACCTGACAGTGTCTTGCATTTAGTCTTTAATGAATGTTTGATATTTGGTGAATAAGATAAAATTTGAAAATGGGCATTTAACCTTTTTTAAAATTTGTTTTTGACAGAGAAAATATGGTCCATGCCCCCATGGAGGGTACGGCTTGGGCTTGGAACGATTCTTAACTTGGATTTTGAACAGATACCACATCCGAGATGTGTGCCTGTACCCACGCTTCGTCCAGCGCTGTACACCTTAACTGTCCAGTGAGTGACGGCAGTAGGAAAGGGTACACACAGTTTAATAGAGAGATACAACTTCCTAGAATGAAATGATCCATCTTTTTTTGTCCCATCAGAGTCTTACTGCTTGTGTTATCTGTTCTCATTGCTATAAAATAATAGCAATTATTTGAGATGTCCCAGAAATAAAATGATCTCAAGTGATACCTATGTTGTCATTCTTAGAAAATAATTGCCATTATAAGCATTGGAGGGAGAGATATTGTGGCATATTAGTGTGCAGTTAGTAACATATTTCAGCTCGATTACAGTTTGTACAGGACTATGTGTCTCATACCATTTACCACTGATGCCAGTTCTACCGTATCTGGAAATTTTTATGTTCTTTTCTGTGCTCCTGCAATTCTATGTTTTGTGATTTGTAGCATCTTATTCTTTCAGTAAATTAAGAACCAAAATTTAGGAATAACATTGACACCTAATAATACAATGTTAAAGATTTGATTGCTTCAATATAAATGTCATTCAGCTGTAGATAGCAGAATAAAATGAATCATTTTCTTGAACCGTGTATCCACTTTGTTATTATCTGATAAGCATTCCAGAGTTTAGATGTATTCAAACAGTTTTATTTACAATAGAAATAGAAGAATTTGCAGGATTCTTCAAATTGTTTAGTAAAGGTCAAAAGGTAGACAACTGTATAGACAGTATTTGGGGGGGAGTAATTAAATAGTTTGCAGGGTCTCTGTTCTGTTGTTCTGAAGAGCTTGGCTGCTTTTCTTCTCTGGCATTTCCATAAATAATCAAGAAAAAATGAGCTCAAAAAGAATTGTAAGCCAGAATATTAATATATTGTTTAATAATTTAATAATTATTACAAATAGTTGTTTGAACTATCTCATTATGTCTTGAGATCTAATCAGCTATTTTCTTCATTTTCACTATACTTATTGAATTACTCCAGCTCAGATTCAGTCAACTAAAAATGCATGTCATATATACTCCGTTAACTGTAATCTTGAAATTTAATAAATGACAACATATAGAAACGTTTTGCTTGGATAATTTTTTCACAACTGTAAATCTCTTGCATTACCAACATGCTGCTTGCATTTTGATATTTTTCTGAAGATATACTTTAATTTACAGTGTTAAAATGGCATTATTAGCATGACTAGAAAAGGATACCACTTAAAACTATGTGCTCTTAATTGCTTCTTTTTATGTATGAATTGAGTTAGATCTTATTTGTTGGTGTGTTTTTAGACACTAGTTAAGTTTTATTTATTTTTGCAATTCAAAATAAAATTACCAGTGAAATATTTTTGTAGTTTAAGAATTGAGATACTTTTAAGGGTATGTAGTAGAGTAAGTGTATATTTTATGAATGTTTTGGGTTCCATGGATCTAGCAGTACAAGTGCATAATAAATGTTTATTGAATTGCATTTGTTGAATGAAACTACAGTGAGTGTGTGTAGTCGAAGAGCCCAGCTTGGAGGAGCTTTACTGGGGCATGAGTACATGAGATAACACCAGGTTAGCGACAGTGAGATCTTGGCATGGCAGCAGTGGGGCCTCAGTTGCTCTTTCAAGAAGTAACCACTAGGCAGAGGGCAGAGAACAGTAGGTACCTGGCAGCCATGCCAGGGAATTAACCATAAAGGTCACTGCTCAGTAGTAGTGCTTCATACTTTTAATAGCACCCTTACTGACCTAGTTGCCAAAATGGCTCTCTCCTGCTTCCCTTCTTTCCTCATTATCTTGCCGCCTTCTTTCCTTGTCCCCCTCAATTCTCCCCAGTGCATTTTTCTATCCTATTTTCCCTACTCTGCTTCTTCCCTCCCCTTTAGTACCCAAAAGTCCCCTGGATAGTTGCATGGTCAATGAGGTTTAGAGTCTTTGGTGATGATGACATCATCATTTCATAGTGCTTTGCCATGATTGTAGTCCTGGAATAAAATCAGCTAGGAAATTGCTGATTTGGTTATGTGTGACCCCTAGTTTCTTCTGAAAGAAGTAAAAAGGAATTATGGGTCTTCCACGTAGTTATTCCATATTGATTGACATGGGACAAGTCAGACTTTGTTCAGGCATAAACAAAAATAAAATTTTGTTGAACTTGGTTTTCTTAGCACTATTAACCAGCTCAGTGGCAAAGAGGAAGAATACTGGACCTGAAGTCAGGAAGACCTGAGTTCAAAACCTGCCTCAGACATTTATAAGCTGTGTGACACATGGCAAGTCACAACTCAGTTTCTTCATCTGCAAAATGAGGATAATAGTACCTATCTCTCAGAGTTGTGAGGAAAAATGAGTTATTTGTAAAGTGCTTTGCAGACTTAAAAGCATTATATAAATGCTAGCTATTATTACTAATTCCCCCCTTGGACGTTTCAGGAGGAGAAAAGGGTATAATGAAATTAAGCAGTGATACAACAGTGCAGCTGCACAAACATTAATTTGTAGTTGAGGATGGATGAAATGGGTAATGTGTTATTCTTATATTAAGCTAAGTTCTTATCTTTGTTCAGTCGTTTTCAGTTGATGTCCAACTCTTCATGACCCCATTAAAGTTTTCTGGGCAAAAATACTGGAGTGGTTTGCCATTTCCTTCTCCAGCTCCTTTTAAAGATGAGAAAACTGAGGCCAACAGGGTGAAGTGACTCACCCAGAGTCACCCAGCTACAAAGTGTTTGGGAGGCCAGATTTGAACCAGGCCAGATACTCTATCCACTGCGCCACCTTAGCAGCTTAAACTTATCTTTACCATGTCCCAATTTTTCGATGTGATTAAAGAGACTTGATTGGGAATTCTAAAAAAGTAGGCTACTTTTGTGTGTCACAAGCATCAAGTATCTATAGTCAGAATCATCCACCTGTCACCAGACTTCAGTGAACAGCTCACCAATTTTTAGAACTTCAGTTCTATATTAGAAGTTTAAAATTTTACCAATCAGACATATATTCCTGTGGGCCTACAATGGCTACGCTTTTTGCTGTTAGCACTAGGGAGTGTCTTTGGACCCATGATAAAAAGCTTTATTAATACTTTTCAAGTCTGTCATAATACTCTTTCAAATTTCAAATGCTAGTTCTCCATTTCAAATGCTAGTTCTCCGTTGCCATGACTTATCATGTCTCATCAGCCCCTCTATTATCATTTTAAGTCATTGGCTAGATGGTACTTCCTGAAGAATAGATAACTGATGATTTGACACCACCTGGTGTTGGGGAGACAGAGGAATGTGGAGTGGATCTCTAGACTTGAGATGTGAAGAGTTCAGATAGGGTCCACAGAGCTCCAGGAAAGGAGAAAAAGAACTGAAGCAGTGACCCCCGACCTTCTGAAGATTTGATGATTATGAGAACTGGGTTATTTAACCTGGAGTTTGCATGTGTAAGCACCACTGGTAATTTGTGTACTGGAAAAGAACCTGGACAAAATGATCATATGGCAGCACGGAGTCCTTGGAGAGACTAATGGTTAAATCCTGCTTCCATCTCTTCTTGATCCAGGCCAAATCACGTAACAGGCCCCAAGCCTCACTTTTCCTCATCTGTGAAATGGGGATAATACTACTTGTCTTACCTTACCAGGTATAGCATAAGTGGTATGGAACATCTGTATGCCAAATTTGTGGACAAGTCAAAAGGACCGAAGTGTGGGAAATATTTCTATGATAATTTAGGAAGAACTTTCAGATACACAAACACCTCTACTAAGAACGTTGTGGATAATCTCAAAGTTGGTGGGGAAAGGATGAAATGACTGAGTGTGACAGGCAAATAACTACACCTCTGATCCTGACTAGCTGTTGTGTAAACTGGGTAATTGGGTAAGAGTGAGTTCATGCAACTTCTGCTCACTGATGGAGGATTCTGCAGCATCATTGTGGTAAACAAATGATAGTTGGCACGTTGGAGCTATGGATTAGATGATAATTATGGCATGCAAATTGCTTCTGCTTTCCTTGGCTACAATTTCTTTTGCACTGAATTTGCCCCCTTTTTCTGATGAAGGAGATACAGCCCAAGTAATCTAAACTTAGTTTATGCAGCAGCTCAGAGGTGCCAATCATGACAAATAATGATTTAGGTTTTCCCCCCTCTCCCAAAGCACTGAGCTGAAACCAACAAATTCTTTTTATTTAGGTCTTCAGCAAAACTCACACACTGGGTCCTATCTGTGACAGGCCAGTGCTTTATCCACTAATTAAGTCACCCAGCCTCTGATAAATCCTCTGCTCTGCTGGGCTGCTTATCTGGGGCCGCCCAGGGCTTCTTTCATTCATATACATTTCTGTGTAGAAAGTGAATGTTTCTGCATAAGTATTTCTTGGTAAATGTGGAAAATAGAAGTAAAACAATTACCTACTCTATGCAAGAAGATCTTCACGATGTTTCCTGAGCCTTCGGAGGATGGGTCTTAGTGAAGGTTTTTTTTTTTAAATTTGCTCTGTAACTCAATGTCCTTTCCAGTTTATTTTCCCTGGAATTATCTCATTAGGAGGTAATGCAGCAGTGTGGTGTAGTGCTGGAATCAGAGGACCTGGGTTCATATTCTGTCTGCTTCCCGACTGTTTGACATTGGACAAGCCATTTAAACTCTATGGGCTTCAGTTTGCTATTGTTCTGTCTGCCTCCTTCGGGTTTTCCTTGGCAGTGATACTGGAGTAGTTTGCCATTTCCTTCTCCAGCTCATTTTACAGATGAGGAAACTGAGGCAAACAGAGTTCAGTGACTTACCCAGGGTCACACAGCTAGTAAGTGTCTGAGGCCACATTTGAACTCAGGAAGAGGAGTCTTGGTGACTCCAGGCCCAGCGCTCTGGGCACTACGACGCCACCTGGTCACCTGGGCTTCAGTTAACTTCCCTGTAAAATGAAAGTGATCACTCATCTCTAAGGTCCATTCCAGGTCTAAATCCATGAATCTATTCACTTCAGAAAAAATTTTGTTTTAGCTTTTCATCATTCTGCTAATCTTAATGTCATCATTATCCAATATTTATAGAGTATAAAGCACTGTTGATTTTCTAAAGACCCTGATTTTAATCTTAGGAATGGAAAGTTATATATTACAAAGCTGATCCAGCACTTAGCACAGTGTCTGGCACAGTAATAATTACGTTTATCTTATTGACTAGCCCTTATGGTGGTGTGATCATCCTGTATTTGTCTGTACCCATAAGATAAGACATGTCAGAAAAAACATGCATGTAGGTACATTTTGAAAAATAACAGTGCTAATAGGTTGCATTCAGATTTTGCACCAGTCAGGTGTAAAGGAGTGCAGTGAATAGTGTCTGACCTGGAGTCAGGAAGACCTGACTTCAAATCTGGCCTCAGATACTTCCTACCTGTGTGACCCTGAGCAAGCCACTTACCTCTGTCTGCCTCAGTTTCCTCATCTGTAAAATGAGCTAGAGAAAGACATGGCAAATTACTCCAGTATCTTTGCCAAGAAAACCCCAAATGGGGTCACAAAGAGGTGGACACAACTGAATAACAACAACTTAAGTAGCCTGATGAGCTAATTAAAATATGCAGGGAGTTGCAAAGCATCCATGATCTCACACGATTTTTACAACAATGCTGCGAGGTACTGAAGGTATTACTACTACCGTCCCTCACCCCTTTAAACCAGACTCGGGTTAAGTGACTTGCTTATGGTTTGGATTGTCCCCCAGAGAGGTCTCTTCTGGCTCCAGACCGAACTACCTTCTAGTAATATCAAACAAGTTTTTATGATAATAGAGATACTCCTTCTAGGTGAAGAGTAGTGAATTCATTTTTACACACCACATACCAGTACTAATGTATCAGTTTTGTACATCTCGATCTCTGGAAACATGACTCTTATCTTCTACGCAGTTGTCAAGTTAATATTCCTTGAGCCTAGGTCTTACGATGTCACTCTGCTACCTGAAAAGCTTTAGTGTCCCAAGACTCCTACTATGAAATACAAGATCCCTTTTGGAAGCATAGCCTGGTTCTAATCCATCTATTCTGACATTCCAGCCAGACCAGGCTACTTGCAGCCCCACC